CTTGCAATTGTTTTCTAGGTTCGAATTTATTGTTCCCACTGATGACGAAATAATAAATATTTGTTTACTTAACATTAAGGTTCTGCAACAACCTTGGTTGTAGGTTTATTTATCTAATTTAATTATATGTATAAATTTGAAGTTACGAATTTTTAAGACGTGAAACTCTGCATACTTCGGTATTTCATTAATATATAATGTATTTAATAATCGGTATTAAATTCAATTATAAGGATTTTTTCATAAAAAAAAATGGATTCACACACATTTCATTGTTCTAAATTTTAAGGATGACAAAACTGAATAATAAAAATATACATTAATAAATATTTTTTGTTCCTTAGGACTTGCCAGGAGTAACTGCAGACTGTAATGGTGATGGAGAGGTTAACTGTGTTGACTTTGCACACATGCATATGTTGGGTGGGTTTGGCTGTCGAGACTCCGCAATCCTTTCTTCTGAATTCTACAAGAGATTTGATACCTGTTGGAAAGTGGTTCAAGCGGCCGGTTAGGTGGTGGGGCCTTGTAGTTTATTGTTCATTCTTGATATCTGTTCATCACTTTAAACATGGAGATCATATACGTTAATAATTAGATTGTAACCATTAAGAATCAAACGATGTTGTTTTGGATGAAGCTGTGACGAACGAAACTTAGAGTGGCTGTTGTCCTGTGTCGCTAAAATATAGTTCACATCACGGTTTCAAGGAGAATATAGCCCATTGAACTGTGGAAAGTAATCAAATATTACACCACACATAAAATTACATACCACACTTTATGGCATAACATTAAATTTTTAATGGTGTGGACAGGCAACTCCATCAAAAGCCTAGTTAAATGACCTAAAGATTATTATATGACTAAGACTTGCGTTATGAGGAATTTTTCTCATTTTTTTTTCTAACAGACAATGTTTAGAAAAGCCCTCGGATGTGAAGTGAATTATGAACACAATAGCCGTAGGCCTACGGTCAATGTACACTTTCTGGCTTCAGGATGTGACAGCCTCGTTTATTTTTATAAAATTGATTTCGTCCAGGAGTCGCCATAGAACAGCATCGTTCAGTGTGATTCATGTGGTTTGTGTTATATTAATATCATCATATATGATCTCCAAGGTTTTATTTATAATAGATTTTTGCCAATCACTTGCCTCATTCAGTAATTTATTCACGGTCGTGGGAAAACCTTTATGGAAAATGAAACTCCATTCATATCATATTAGAAATAAGTGTCTGTTCTAATTAGTATTTTTGGTAAATATATAAATTAGCATCTTTTTGTAAATATGAAAATTGGTATTTTTTTGTAAATATGAAAATTAAGTCAAGGAAGAAGTTATTAATATGCATAAACTAGATAACTTCTATGGTGGTTTCTTTCTTTTATTTATGTTAATTAATAAATATTGTTAATCATTTCATTGGCGTTCATAAAGGTGATATTCCTATTGCTGTCTTATATTATACTTAATAAATCATTTATTAAAAGTGTTTTTATTAATCATAACAATACACAGTGACTAACATGGTACGCATTATTTTCTTCTATTTTCAACTTTATTATAAATGAATTACAAGATATTTATGTTTACTGTCTATAAGCCAAAGAAAAAATGAACAATTGAGAAACCGTTTTTATTAAAAAAAATGGTTAATTGTGACGATTTTTAATGGTATACTCGCTGGGAGTTTATTTAATTTCTTATTACTTTGTAAACTTGTTACGGATTAAAGTAGTCCATACATGATATATTGGTAGATAACAATCACAATGATCTTCTTACCCTTGATGAGTGGCGCTTTGATGCTGGTTAAGAGCTCTTGATCCAGAGTGTTTGAGCTATCCTTCCTAGGATCGAGTATGATCGCCCTTCATTCCTTGTGTACGGATTTAAGACTCTTATAAATGAAGTAATAATAATAATAATAATTCTTGCAGTCAATAAACATTAACACAGAACTTTTCATTTAATTCTGTAGTCAACATTGACCTGTATTATGACATTCATGGAGAAGCGTTAAACCCGTTGGATCACACAGCTACTTTAGAATGGAAGGGATGGTAAATAACACTCGTCTGCATTTGGAATGTTTTTAATTTTTATTTTTATTCATAGTTGCGATCTTACATAATCTTGGGCTGCTGACTAGAAATATCTAAACCATTTTGCTCGATCACGTAAGGATTTTGAATAAAATGCAAATTAATGATAATACAAAATGTGAATTTTTAATAAATTGTTAATTTATTAAAATTTGGCAAGTAATCATGGAAAAGCACATTCTGTTAGTTTTAAGAACATAAGAATTCCATATCAACATGAATCGAATCAATGGATTTTATTAAAAAAATATGCTCCTAATGGTTAGTCTACATATTGAATCAAAGGAAGGAAGACTGCTTTGATTTTCGCTTGTGCTGTGCATCGAGACCATTACGTTTCAATGGCCAGTAGTAATGCGCCATCATGCTGACATTCTGTTTGCCATGGTATCGAGTTTTCATGGTGCAAATATTTTGACGGAACCGCTCTCCTTGTTCCTCACTGTAGTCCCCACAATTGTTGGGAAAATAGTCAAGATGTGAGTGAAAAAAGTGCATCTTCACACTCATTCTAGACCCAAGATGCTGGACACTTGAAATCAGGTCTTGGATCATTTTTTCACATTCGGGGGGAGGGCCTGTTTCCCAGGAAGCTGTGGACAGTCTGCTTGAATGAAAACCAGACATTCACCTCGACACCTGCTAATGCTTCATCAAAATGCTTGTTCTTCATCAATTCCCGAATCTGAGGGTCAACAAAGATTCCTGCCTTTAGCTTGCCTTCACATATACGAGGAAACTTTGACTCCAGGTACTTGAAAGCGAGTGGAGTGGTGGCAGCAGAATTTTCTTGGGGTCATCTAGTGGTACAGTTTTCACGTTGTGATTTCTGGGTAAGAAACTGGTTCTTAGTGGCCAGTCTTTTTGTTCATAGTGTTGGCTGTCTGCCCTACTATCTGAAAGACACAAAAAACAGGGATACTTGGTGTATCCGCCTTGAAGACCTAGTAGGAGAGTAATAACTTATAAATCACCACTAATCAGAAAATTGTGATTCTGGTACTTGATTGCAGATATTTGTGTCTTCATATCTGCGTAAGTTTCTGACATTTGGACACTATGGCCAATTGGCACAGATGCAGCTCTGTTGCCATTGTTGAGAAGTACAATCTTTAACCTTCTTTTAGAAGAATCAGTGAGGAGTCTCCATTCATCTGCTTTGTATGACATCCCCATGTGTACAATAAGGCCAGAAATATTTGAACAGAAAACTAAAGATTCCTCTTTCGTCAAAGAACTGAGTGAATTCCCAAGCGAATGTTGTTCCAGGAGCTAGGAGCCTGTGTTCCTTCAGTCTAGAGCCAAGTAACTGTGCACTTTCTTTTGGAAGGTTAAGGTCTCTCACCAAGTCATTGAGCTCAACTTGGTTGAAGGGTTTGAGATCGTCATTTGTTGATGGTTCACAGTCTACGTCCATCTCTTTACAATCACTGGTTTCAGACTCTGATGAAATTTGTCATGTCTTAGGTGGCACAGGTACAGGAATATCTTCAGAGTGTGGAACAGGATTTATTGCTGAAGGAATATTTAGTCTTCTTGTTGAATCCAGCTACTTTAGTCATACAAAAGTATCAGTCATCATGATTGATCATCTGCTTCCGCCATACCATTAGTACTCCAAAGGGCAAACATTTAAGTTTTCCAACTGAACATATTTGGAACTTCCTGATGCAACTCTTGCAAGATTTGTGTGATGCAAATGGTTTGTCCTGGTCTCCAAGTTTACAGCCAAAATAAGCGAAGTAGCAGCGCTTCAATAAAGGAGTAATGTTGCTCCGGGAATCTGAAGGGGTGAATTGCCCGCAGACATAGTACAATATGTCTGGTGAATTTATGCAGCCACTAGACATATTAATAATCTGAAAATAGAGAAAAATATATTAGATTTAACATTTAAGTCAATATAAAGTAAGCATTTTAATTGATAATACGTATACCACTTTCTCATTTACTTATACGAAAATAGAAAAGTAACGTTTCCGTATAATTTGACAACCTGATGTGATAGACTTGAATAAAGAACACAATGAATCATTATTTTCCATATATATATATATATATATATATATATATATATATATATATATATATATATATATATATATATATATATATATATATATATATATATATATATATATATATATATATATATATATATATATATATATATATATATATATATATATATATATATATATGCAATAAGATCACAGTAAACAGGTGATTTCAGAATATGCAAAACAACCACTCTGAAAGAATAGAGAAATTCCAAGCGCTTTCGTGACTACTCACATTATCAAGGAACTATGTAATGTGATAATGTGAGTAGTCACGAAAGCGCTTGGAATTTCTCCATTCTTTCAGAGTGGTTGTTTTGCATATATATATATATATATATATATATATATATATATATATATATATATATATATATATATATATATATATATATATATATATATATATATATATATATATATATATATTATACCGAAAAAGATACCATAGTGTCAGTAAAAAAAAATCATGCAGACCAGTGTAATCAGGTATGATTCGAGGCAGGAGGAAGAATAACTTCAGTTTTATGAATCAAGAATCCTTCGCCAGTATCTTGGCTCCCTGAAAATGCCAAAATGAGCTGTAGCAAGTAGGAGCCACTCAGCATCAATGAAGACTTTCAGTTACTTATTACTTTAACTAGTAACAAAACGCGAGATGAAGTTGAGAAATGTTACAGACATTGTGTTTTCCATGACAACCACAATAATCGGACATTTACTAGCTAAAATCTTTGTAGTGATTTAATTTCTATTCGCTTTACAAAATAATTACACAGGTTCATATTTGAATCGATAATATTTAATTCAATTTCATAAATAGGAATTTTTAGCTTCAGTAAGGTAGGCTGAAGTTTATATGGTCTGGTTGATTAATGCAAGCTCCTGATGATGTGTTGATTGCAACACGAAAGGCCTAGAACTATCATTCTACTCCCCGGTGGTTGTTTTGCATCTTGTATCACTTGGTTTGCGATATTTGCAAAGGTTAGTGGACGAGTTTGGGAGGGTGTGTAAAGGTAGAAAGTTGAAAGTGAACATAGATAAGAGTAAGGTGATGAGAGTATCAAATGATTTAGATAAAGAAAAATTGGATATCAAATTGGAGAGAAGGAGTATGGAAGAAGTGAATGTTTTCAGATATTTGGGAGTTGACTTGTCAGCAGATGGATTTATGAAGGATGAGGTTAACCATAGAATTGATGAAGGATGAGGTTAACCATAGAATTGATGAAGGAAAAAAGGTGAGTGGTGCGTTGAGGTATATGTGAAGATAAAAAACGTTATCTATGGAGGCAAAGAAGGGAATGTATGAAAATATAGTAGTACCAACACTCTCATATGAGTGTGAAGCTTGGGTTGTAAATGCTGCAGCGAGGAGGCGGTTGGAAGCAGTGGAGATGTCCTGTGTAAATGCAATGTGTGGTGTAAATATTAAGTAGAAAATTCGGAGTGTGGAAATTAGGAGAAGGTGTGGAGTTAATAAAAGTATTATTCAGAGGGCTGAAGAGGGTTTGTTGAGGTGGTTTGGTCATTTAGAGAGAATGGATCAAAGTAGAATGACATGGAGAGCGTACAAATCTGCAGGGAAAGGAAGGCAGGGTAGGGGTCGTCCTCGAAAAGGTTGGAGGGAGGGGGTAAAGGAGGTGTTGTGGACGAGGGGTTTGGACTTCCAGCAAGCGTGCGTGAGCGTGTTAGATAGGAATGAATGGAGGCGAATGGTTTTTG